AAAACAAAATATATATCGTGTGTTTGAGTGGTCCAGACGCTACAGAGTCCCAGCCTCAGAGGAGACGAGAGCAGTGGATGTTTTTTATTTATTTACTGTATATTTAAGCTGCTGCCACACAAACTTTTGTGTTTTTAATATAAACTTGTGTGTATTTATTTAACAGTTTAAGTGCTTAGACTTAAAAACTTAGTTTAGTACTCACATGCCGTGTGATAGCCGCTTTCTGTGCACGTGCTTCGGTGTGTGCACTTAGTTTAAACTTCTGATATACGGTTTTCTGATATGGCTTTAAAAGGTATGATTTCAGTATGATAGACATGATAATCAAAACCAGACAGATGTTTTTTGGCAGAGTATCTGAGGCACGAGCTGTAAAGGCACAAACGGCTTTATTCTGGAAAAGGGAGGCAGGGAGCAGCAGCTCATTTGCATTTAAAAAGACATGCACTGCTTCCACTCAAAATAGGCATTTTCAAAATTAAATAATAAATGATCTGTGGGGTATTTTTAGCTGAAACTTCACAGACACATTCTGGGGACACCTGAGATTTACAGTAAATATACTCATCATACATAGAAAATACAATTATTAATTATTTAAAATATAAGATTAATATATGATGAATATATACAAAATGTATAGTGTATTGCCCACATATTTTTATAGATTAAATCCTTCATTTCAAATGTATTGTAATTGTTAACATTCCCTTCATATAATATACTTACCTAAATGTTTTTGGTGTCTTTAAATAGTACAATCAATTAAACTATTACTATGTCATTAATAGCACTTTTTTTCTACATTAAAAATATAGCACTTCAAGTACTTTATGCTAAAAGTATGCTTACTGTTAAACTTGAGTTTTGGTACCCCAGGTAAAAATAAAGTGTACTTGAATGCACTAAAAATACTTAAATACAAGCAAGTGCATGTCTAGTACATTCTTATTTTTTGTGCTATATAAAATTGTAAAAGTTATACACTAAATACACTAATTACAGTTTTTCTCAATCGATTTGACTCATGTCTCCAAACTCAGGTCACTGTTCTCAAAACAGTTAACACAGTGACCTGAATACTTTGTAATTGTCCTAAACAGATTGTACATTTATTAAAGTTTTCTTTGAGCGTTCGCCGGTTCCCGCCTCCTTCTTCCTCCTGGAATACAAAAGTTGTTACACCAACCAATACTTTAAAATATCTGAAAAAAATGTTTTACACAAATCACAAACATTTATGTACTATTTGTCCAAACACAACAAACAAAACTCTGTAATTTGTCGTTCGATCAAATGAACATAGTATATTTTCGATTGGCCCTAAACTGATAGCTATTCGGTTGATCATACACTCAACACAGGAAATGCAGTTTTCCAAATCGTTTACACATTTATCACAATTGCTTTAGGGTAATAATGAAAGGGAAAGTATACAATGAGCAAGAATGAATATGCAAAATAAAAATAATAATAAAATATAAATAAAATTTATTTACTATAAATATCCAAACATTTTTTCAGAATTTACGTTTGAGATCATTCAGGTGGACCATCAAGATTATTTTGAATGGAACAGGAGTATTGTTGACATGGTGGTCCAGAACAACATCCCCAGCCACAAAGGAAGAGGCCTGTGGAGATGTTGAGACAGGAGCTTTTTAAACATGGATTCAGACTTCTTACATTTTTTCTCCTATGATGCAAGCGCAGCAAATATGTAGTGTTGATAAAATGCAATGAAATTCTCTTCCAGATGTAAATGAAAGGCAAGATCAATAATTCAGTAATTCAGTTATATATACATATCCACCACTGTGCTGTAAAAGACTGATCTGTAGTTATCAGAAAAGTTTGTTTGCAGTTCTTGCTGCTAAAGGTGGCACAAACAGATTTTAAGTTTAAAGGGGCAATTAGTTTTTTCTCATGGGTGATAGCAGGTGTTGGATAACAATTTTTATTTTGTTTAGATATACACAATATATATAAAACAAAACTCCCTGTTGAAGAATTGCAATAAACATGTATTTTCATTAGCATATTTGTGCATCTACAGCTGAACGTGTTTTATAATCAATAGAGAAAACACCTAGAGATTTGATGTTAATATTTAATTGTAATAATTGCATTACTAGAAAAAATTGCAGTGTTTCATTTTGCAGTAAAGTTGAACTGTTTGGTTAAAATAATTTTGTGTTTGGATGGCTGTGTTAAATGTTTTGAGAACAAGTTGCATTGGAGAAAAGTGTCAAATCGATTGAGAAAAACTGTAAAAGTATATTTCTACTTCAGTAGTACTTCAGTGCAATTGCAAAAGTATACTAAATACCACTGATATTTAAATAGATTTTAGTGCATTGAAAAAGTATACTATCCCAAAAATATTCAGAGGACTTTGCTAGTAGCACATTTGGGAAGACTGTACTTACAACTATTTCATTACTAATATACTTTAAATAAAATCTATTTAATTTTTAAGTTTTTAATTTCTTTCTTTCTTTCTTTTTTTGTTTCTACAGCACTTGTACATTTGTTGTTTTTAAATGATTACTATAAACAAATTTTCATTTGCTGACATTATGGTCAGGTCCAGTATGGTTTGTACTTTAATACCTTAACCTTAAGTCCCACTTTCTTTTCTCTTTTTTTGTCTCAACAGGGCTTATAAAACCATTGAGGATGAGGACCTCAGATTTCCTTTGTTATATGGAGAAGGAAAAAAGGTAACACTGGTGAGAGAATCGGAGGACAAATTGAAGCAAAAAGAGCAAATCAAAAGGCAACTCTGGTCAGGCACTGCCACAAGACATGGCACTGGAACAGAAGTGTCAAGGCAAAGAGAAATTAACAATGGTATAGACAACAAGAGGAAAGAAAAGTAAGATTTATTTCATAGATGTAAAAACAAGGAAAGAATTAGACAAGATGAAAAAGGATAATGACAGGACAAGAGAGTCTCAACTACATCACCTTGTTATTGAAGGACTGCTACTATGCATAGAGCTGTACATACAGTACTATCATGAAATATCACTTATCTGACACTCAAAGTGGATATCACTCCTGTTTACTAGAGGGGTGCCCTCCAATTGCAAAGCATTAAACATTTTTTAAAGGGGTGGTTGATTGTGATTTCACTTTTTTAACGTTAGTTAGTGTGTAATGTGGCTGTTTGAGCATAAACAATATCTGCAAAGTTACGACGCTGAAAGTTCAATGCAAACGGAGATATCATCTTTTAAAATTATGGCAGTTTAATGCCTATAAAAACGTGTGGAGGGCTTTCAGCCCTCCTTGTGTGAAGACCGACGAGTGTAAAGACCTGCGACTTTACCTGTGTGACTACACTGAGCAACGAAACCGGCAACGCACTTAAGTATTATTTTTTGATGTCACAAACCCAGGAACATGCAACAAGGGGGGCGAGGCCATGCTGCACTGCTTTAGAGAAGAGTAAGAGTTGTTGCCATGCCGTCAAAACTAGGCACGAAAAAATCTATTCATAAATGAATCGCGATTCTGTCTTCTAATGATTCTAATGGATTCACAAGTTTCAAAATCAGTGTTCTAAAGCAGTGATTCTTAATCCTGTCCCTCGCGTCCCCTGCTCTGCACACGCTCTTCTCTGCATCTCTCTCTCTCTCTCTCTCTCTCATTCACATCATCAGCTCATCACAGCTCCATCAGTGAACTATGTTCCAATTATACACTTTATGTGTATAGACAGACAGATATTTTTCACATAGCTGAAAAGCGATTAGTCAACAGAAGAAACGGACAGCAGCGCATGAGTGTTTTGCTTAATACTTGTTTGTAGATCTGTTGTTTAAATTATTACTTGCTGCTAGGAAGGAATATTTCGTTTTCTACCTATTTCTACTTTGTATTTTCGCTGTAGTTTGTATTTTTGATTGCACTTACTGGTAATTATAATAATTGCCGTCGGCTAAGAAGGAGCCTGTGTTATCCCTTCCTGCACTTAAGTGCGAATTGTAGTTTCGATTTGAGTAATTGCCCTGCTATAGGCTATTGGCTGTGCTAATTAGAAGGGATCTGTTGTTTAAATTATTACTTGCTGCTAGGAAGGAATATTTAATTTTCTATCTATTTCTGCTTTGTATTTTCGCTGTAGTTTGTATTTTTGTTTGCACTTACTGGTAATTATAATAATTGCCGTCGGCTAAGAAGGAGCCTGTGTTATCCCTTCCTGCACTTAAGTGCGAATTGTAGTTTCGATTTGAGTAATTGCCCTGCTATAGGCTGTTAGGTGTGCTAATTAGAAGGCGGCCACAGCTGTTTTCACTTTTGGTATCGCTAGACCAGGGGTGGGGAACCTTTTTAAGAGCCAATTTTTTCTTTT